TGGAAATATTTAGCCACTTCAGCGATTGGTACTTCTTTGGGCGTGGCCGCATCTTGAGCGTAGTCGATGGCCTCTAGTTGTTGGACGTTGATCTTAATGAGAGACGCGATAAAGTCGGGTATAGAAGTAGGCATATCACCAGGGATAGGGTGCTGGTTGGTAAATGATCGCCAAAACAGTGGTTTCAAGAATAGGCCTTCCAGCTTATCGTGTAGCTGGTCTTCGGATGAGATGTAAATCACTCTATTTCCTGGATCTAAGCTCTCACGCTCTATAGATGAGAGAAAATCTTGGATGCCTTTCGCGCTTTCGCTATCACCCGGGTTGATATCTGTTGATATTGGGGCTAAGGAAATATATTAGCTTATAACCCTATCTTCATGTGGTCAGACTTGCCTTGCTGTGGACTGTAAATAGGACTTGATATATCGGTGCTTTTCATTTTTATCGGAAATGCTGAGAATATTAGCATGTAAAGATCAAAAGAATTGGAGTCACATACAATTCTTTATTGGCACATTCCTCCGGGGAACTTTCTTCCCCAACTTTTGCCCATCTTAATGATGTTAGGTTCGCTTTAATCGTAGCTCTATTACTTACCATTAATCACATCCTCCCTCTTGTTGTCCAAAGGTTGTAGTCTAGCACGGGCACTTTCGTCCTGATCTTGAGTAATAGGATACTTGTTCAGCCAAGACTCAATCATCTTTAAGCATTTATCAAAGTCACAAAGATGTGCAAGACTGGTAAAAGTGAAAGTGATAGCCACTAGGATCCAGATATAGTCACTTATTTGCCGGATATCTTGAAGACGGCGTCTAACGATTCTCTGTTGTTTTGTCGGAGATGCATTGTAGGTAAAGTAATATGTCTGAGAGATAGATTCCGTATATTTAATTTGTTCGTCGTGGCTAAAACTAGTTCGCTTTCGAGCTAGGTTCTCACAGAATTCCTGTGGTGTGAGTCCCATAGTAATAGGGCTATAGTTTGGCAGTTGGAAGTGGGCAGGGAATTGGGGGCTTTGGCGATTGGCGGATGGCAATGTTGGGTGAAAGTTGAAGTCGACGGCAAGTAAACGGTAATTCAAAAGGGAATTTAAAGTAAGTCAAAAGGGAAGTCAAAAGGGAAGTCAAAAGGGAAATCAAAGGGAAGTCAAAGGGGAGTCAAAGGGAAGTCAAAGGGAAGTCAAAGGGAAGTCAAAGGGAAGTCAAAGGGAAGTCAAAGGGA